CCCGGGGCGGTGGTGCGCTTAATCCGAACGCATCAAACCCTCATTCTGTCACCAATATATTTAGACTTACGATCCATCACCATCGACTTATGGATAACAAATTATTATAACCAATAAAAAATATCACAACTATTTGTTTATAATTAAATAAACAAATGAATGATAAAAATTTAGAAAAAAAAAAAACATTCACGAATTAGAAAATAATTGGATAAGATTATGAAAAAAGATCTAAACATAAATCTTGGTTTTTTATAAAAATTATAGGGAAATCTGTTGTCGACAACTTCAATAGTTCCTGGAGAAGCGGTCACAAGAGCTGGTGGCAGTTATCAGTCTTTAAAAATATTTAATACCAGTATCGGGAGATAAATCTTTATATTTTTAAAAAATCCAGGACACAGAGTCACCGACAACTTCACAACTTCCTGGAGCAGCGGTCACAGGAGCTGATAATTGTAGGGATATTTGTCGCCGATAACTTGACAACTTCCCGGAGCAGCGGTCACTGGAAAATATATCTCCTCTCTGTTATATTTTGTATTTTAAATTCCTTCGCTCTCAATTCGTATGATGACTACGTTTACAATTGTCTTTCTTATAAAAATTATCAGAATTTATATTTATCCGTTATTTACAGATTTCCATAATTACAGATATCAAAATTTATTGGTCTATATTAACAGATTTCTATATTTTAAGTTTACGAATATTAATGATTGTCTATTTTTTTATGTTTCTAAATTTTTAATTGTCTTTTTTTCGACTTGTCTGAATTTATTATTCTTTTCTTTTTTTTTTTTAAATATCAGTCATTTTAGATGTTTATATTCTGATGCGTCTAATTTCACGGAAATCTTTTTTTTTTGATTTTATAATTTTACGCTTATTTTTTTTAAAATAATTCTAATTATTTTGATTACTACATTTTTTCATTGCTATTTTTTAACTAATCGATATTGCAAAGTATCCTCAATAAGACACATCATTTTTTTATTATTTCTGAAATCTTATTTTTCCATATTTTTCATTTATTGATTTCCTTACTCACAGATTTCCAAAATTTGATGTTTCCATTTTCTGTAAAATTTCCGACCGTAAAGAATCAATGAAACGCATTTTACAAACAAAACAAAATCGAGGATTATTTACCAATAGAAATGAATTCAGCATAATTAAAAGCCGTGAATTCATTTCTATTCTTTTTATAATTCGGAAAGCCAGAAATAGAAAAATTATTTAGTCATTGAATAGAATTGATTTGAATTTATTTTCTAGATACGATAAAAAAATTGAGAAATTAAAAGTATAGAAATAAATTCATTTTCGTCATTTTAATTCTTTTCAATTGATTTTTTTAATCAGGGATATATAAACTAACAGAATCTTTAAGTATGTAAATTATTATTATTATTATTTTTATTATAAGGATATAAGTATTCAAAATTTTTGTACCAAAAAATTATTTTTAAAAAATTACATTTGTTATTTTTTAAAATTTCTATGTCAATTTTTTTTTTAAATTTATTTTTTGACACAATTTTATTGTTATAAAATTCGTAAAATAATTCAATATATGCTAAATAAATTTTCATTCATAAATTTATTTTTATCAAAAATTAATTTATATATTTCAGTTTGATTTTCTATTAAAGTGTATTTTTAGTTTAATTGTCTAATCTAGTATTTGTTTGAATACCAGGAAAAAGGAAAAATGTTTGTACACACATTAGAACTTTCTGAACGTATACAATTATAAGCAAATATTTTCAAAGCTATATATAAATAAGCCTAAAAATAAAATCTTTAATGAGTAATCTATTGTATTTAAAGTACTGTCATAAATTAATATTTCAAGGAAGAAATTACCTTGATTATTTACTTTTATCAAAGAAAAACCTGAGAGGTATTATTAATTAGTAGCAGTCAGGAAAATCAGCAGCCACATTTTAGTCAAAAATTTTGGAGCGAACGGACGTTTTAATAAAGTTTCATTTTATAAAATTATAAATTATATATATATTTTACTTATTTGAAAAAATTAAAAATTTTTCTATAATATAAAAAATGACGATTATAAAACTCCAAAGTAACGACGGAGTAGTGTTTGAAGTTGATGTGGAAATAGCCAAGTGTTTAACAATCATCAAAACGATGTTGGAAATCCTTGTAGTTGACGAAAGCGATGAAGAAACGCCGATTCCTCTGCCAAACGTTCACTCTGTTATTTTGGAAAAAATAATCCAGTGGGCCACTCATCACCATAAAGATGACCCGCCGTTCGTGCATAGTTGTGATGAAGGTGCTTCACTACATACAGACGAGATGTGTTCATGGGACGCTAAATTTTACAATATGGAAATCAGAATGCTCTTCGATCTTATTAAGGCTGCCAACTACCTCGATATCAAGTTCATTTTCAAAGAAGCTTACAGAAATGTAATTGTAGCTCTTTTGAAACAAGGGTTCACACATGAGCAAGTTAAGAACTTGTTACATGCCGAAAATATTTTTGATTCGGATGAAGACGAATGACTTTGTAATTTTTAAATTTAAATTTTAGAAAATCGAGGATTATTTACCAATAGAAATGAATTCAGCATAATTAAAAGCCGTGAATTCATTTCTATTCTTTTTATAATTCGGAAAGCCAGAAATAGAAAAATTATTTAGTCATTGAATAGAATTGATTTGAATTTATTTTCTAGATACGATAAAAAAATTGAGAAATTAAAAGTATAGAAATAAATTCATTTTCGTCATTTTAATTCTTTTCAATTGATTTTTTTAATCAGGGATATATAAACTAACAGAATCTTTAAGTATGTAAATTATTATTATTATTATTTTTATTATAAGGATATAAGTATTCAAAATTTTTGTACCAAAAAATTATTTTTAAAAAATTACATTTGTTATTTTTTAAAATTTCTATGTCAATTTTTTTTTTTAATTTATTTTTTGACACAATTTTATTGTTATAAAATTCGTAAAATAATTCAATATATGCTAAATAAATTTTCATTCATAAATTTATTTTTATCAAAAATTAATTTATATATTTCAGTTTGATTTTCTATTAAAGTGTATTTTTAGTTTAATTGTCTAATCTAGTATTTGTTTGAATACCAGGAAAAAGGAAAAATGTTTGTACACACATTAGAACTTTCTGAACGTATACAATTATAAGCAAATATTTTCAAAGCTATATATAAATAAGCCTAAAAATAAAATCTTTAATGAGTAATCTATTGTATTTAAAGTACTGTCATAAATTAATATTTCAAGGAAGAAATTACCTTGATTATTTACTTTTATCAAAGAAAAACCTGAGAGGTATTATTAATTAGTAGCAGTCAGGAAAATCAGCAGCCACATTTTAGTCAAAAATTTTGGAGCGAACGGACGTTTTAATAAAGTTTCATTTTATAAAATTATAAATTATATATATATTTTACTTATTTGAAAAAATTAAAAATTTTTCTATAATATAAAAAATGACGATTATAAAACTCCAAAGTAACGACGGAGTAGTGTTTGAAGTTGATGTGGAAATAGCCAAGTGTTTAACAATCATCAAAACGATGTTGGAAATCCTTGTAGTTGACGAAAGCGATGAAGAAACGCCGATTCCTCTGCCAAACGTTCACTCTGTTATTTTGGAAAAAATAATCCAGTGGGCCACTCATCACCATAAAGATGACCCGCCGTTCGTGCATAGTTGTGATGAAGGTGCTTCACTACATACAGACGAGATGTGTTCATGGGACGCTAAATTTTACAATATGGAAATCAGAATGCTCTTCGATCTTATTAAGGCTGCCAACTACCTCGATATCAAGTTCATTTTCAAAGAAGCTTACAGAAATGTAATTGTAGCTCTTTTGAAACAAGGGTTCACACATGAGCAAGTTAAGAACTTGTTACATGCCGAAAATATTTTTGATTCGGATGAAGACGAATGACTTTGTAATTTTTAAATTTAAATTTTGGGAAGAAATGTTTTTACAATGTATTGATTGTTAGTAAGACATTATTTAATAAAATTTCAACTTTTCTATTATTATTATATTCTTCACGTGTTTTTAATTATTTAATACTAGCTGTTACCCCCCCCCCTTTCCCTGATGCTCCGCTGGGCGCTTAATAAAAATGCATTTTTAAATCTAAGACTTGAAATTTAATTGGATTATTGTATTGACTTGCACAAACTTCAAATTTCGTCGAATTAGCATTTACCTTTTATCCATATGATTATCTAGGTAATACTCATTGTATAACTTTTAATGTGCAATTTCTCTGAAACTATAAGGCCTATAGTCTTGAAATTTGACAGGAATATTCCTTTCGCTAATTAGAGGCCAGCTAAGAACGGATTTCAAGAAATTCTTCCTTCAATGGGGATTGCAGGGGCGTAAACAATAAAAAAAATTCCTGTTTTAAAACTATAGCTTCTACAGGTTCCAAATTTGGCCGAAATATTCTATATGTGATGGAGAAATGATCTAAGAGCGGATTCTAAGACAACCTACACGGAAAAAAAATTGAAGGAATTTTTACTATTTCACTATCGTAATTTTTATTAAATAAAATAGTAGCGGTGGACTATACTTCTTATTTTGTAATTTTTACAATCTACTATTGTAAATTTTATCCAACAAACAACACTAGCAAGAGACTTAAAAAGTCGAATACTATAGAGCAAATTATACAATATGTGTTTGTGAACTTTACAATTCAATTATTGTAATAAAAATTCACAGTCAGTTTTTTTAAAATAAATTTTAGGGAGGGAGAGAGATTGGAGGTTATGCTAATTGATACCTATACAGTAACCGAAAAAAGATATCGGAATTTCCGTCTTATCTGGGAATCGAACCCAGATCTCTTTGTTGGCAGCCAGAGACTCTCCCTCTACGCTATCCGAGGTAAACTAGTACTCCTGTCCTTTAACATTTACATAAACTCGGAGTCTAGCGCTGTGCACGGACATCGCTCACACTATAATTGAGAAACATTCCAATTCAACTATTGTAAAATTTGTTATAGTTCTATTGGAAAGATACAGAGGCAGCACTGGAAATTTTAATTCTTACTTTTTACAATAGTAATATCGTATTTTCTCTAATCGTAAATTGTAAAATTTCATGAATAAATAGTAAATTTTCTTTTAAAATATTTGAAAATTAATAGTAATAATAGTATAGTCCAGCTTTACAATAGTTGTATCGTAAATTTTCCCAGAAACTTTTTTCCGTGTACTCCGAATATAGATTGCGGGGGTGGATATTAACAATAAAAAAATTCCTATACCGGGCGCCTTATATATGAAAATCGATTCTTAAGGAGTAAACTCCAAAAAAAAGAATAAATAGAGTATTAACATTGATACATTGTTAAAAAAAAACTCCGCGGAGTAAATTCTTTATTTTTTTTATTACATAAAAATATTTATTCGTTTAAAAATTACAAAATGCTTATTTAGAGATTTTTTAATAAATTTTAACAAATACTTTAAACAATTTATCTGAAGTTTAAATTTGTAAATATTATTTATATTTCTCCAAAAACTTAGACTTTTTTTGGGCATTAAGCTAGTACGAGAGCACCAAGGCAACTTTTGATAAAAGTTGAGAAATCATAATGTAAAAAATACAGAATAATTAATCATTAACATTATTACGTTTAATTAAATAAAATTATTTACATTAATGTCACTAAAATTAATTAAAATGTGGCAATTTTTAAGATCTAATAATGAATAAATTATTATTGAATGAATTTATCAAAAAGTGCTACTTGTAGAAATTAAAAAAAAAATATTGATGCAATTTTTCTTAAATATTAAAATTTATTTGTTATATCAAACTAAGGAAAAAAACTATATTAATTTAAAAAATCTCTAAATACGCATTTTGTAATTTTTAAACAAATTAGTATATTACACCCCTTGGGAAGGAAAATAAGAATAGCCTCAGATCACATGTAATTGTTGGCCGAGGCGAAGCCGAGGTCAACAAACATGTGATCTGAGGTTTTCTTTTTTACTTCCCAAGAGCTGTATAATATTTTTTTGTCCGAGGAAGGCGGAAAGCGGCAACTTTGTTTAGCGCAGTGGGACCAAAGTTGCCACTTTCCGCCCAGAGGGCAAAAAAAATATTTTTTTTCATTTTTATGTAATAAAATAAATAAAGAATTTACTCCACGGAGTTTTTTTTTTATCAATGTATCAATCTTAATAAGTACTCTATTTATTCTTTTTTTTCTTAAATCGAATGTCAAGCGCTTACGATTTGAAGTTACGGTTGTGTATAGATAAATAAACTATGTAGAGATTTTAAATCTGAGAAATATTCTTGTGCATAGATACTGTTTATTATGTTTATTATGTGTGTAGTGATGACGCAGTATAGAATTTATCTTGTATAGAGATTTTTCTATGTGAAAAGAAACGTATCCGCTTTTGACTTTTGTATAGAGATAAATTTTTAGAGTTTTCAAAATGGAAACAAATTCTGTGTAGGCATGCACCACAACCCTCCGCAAATTTGACAATTTTTTATAATTTACATTTATCGATAAAACTATGAAAAAATAATTTTTTAAATATAAAATATATTTCAACACCAAAAATTTTTAACACACCTACACCGCTTGAACATACACCGGTTTTTTTTTTGACAGTGTATATTTAATTGCTGTAAAATGTTCTTTCGGCATTTTTTACACATTTTGCTATAATTTAAAAATTTTTTTTCAAAAAAATTTAAAATTTAGCACACAATTAAAGTTTTCATAAAAATTAAAATTTTCGGACATTAAAAAATTTACAACTACTATCTTTATATTAAAAATAACAATTTAAAATATTGGAGAAATTGTTTACTTACTAGCAAAGCCGATATTTAGCATAATAATAATTTATTTTTAACTTCCCGCTAAAAATCTCAGATTTTCAAAAATCGGGAAGTTATTGTTTTCACCCCGTTTTACAAAAATCGAGTTTTCATCAGATCTCGACGTTTGAAGGTCACAGGAAGCTTCCCTGACTATTTTTACGATGATGTCCGTACGTCTGTATGTGTGTGTGTGTGTGTGTGTGTGTAAACCTCTTGGAACTTTTGAACGACTTGACCGATTTCATCGCGGTTGGTGTCATTCGAAAGGGTTTCACTAAACTTAGATTTTCTGAAAATTTGAACCGATTCGGACCGGTAGATTTCGAGAAAATGCAAAAAAAGTGAAAAAAAAAGTTGTTTTTTTTATATTTTTTTTTGAATATCTCCAAATTGGCTGAACCGATCGGTCTCAAAAACTAATCAGCTCTTAACCTTGAAAACCTCCATCGATCGCCACCAAAAACGTTAGAATCGATTGATGCGTTCGTGAGATATCGTTGTCGAAAAAAATCGAAAAAAGTGTTTTTTTGTAATAACTTCGAAATTCATGGCTTGATCGATTTAAACTTGGAAATTTTTCATGGAGTTTCAAAAACTGCGTCGATTGCCGCCAATCGCGTGAAAATCGGTTCATTCATTCAAAAGTTATTGCCGTTTGAAAATTCAAAAAATTGTGTCTTTAAACTGCTATTAGAGTTTTGAGCTCGAAGAGCTCAAAAACGTAATGTGTAATTTGAAGCGTTTAAGTACAAAATGAGCGGGAAGTTGCAGGGATGGCCTTTAGGGTGAACCGTTTTTCTAATTTTTTTTTTATATAAAATACGACAACTCTTAACTCTCTAACTAACCCAACTTAATAGTTCTTCAACGCAGAGTACTTTGATACTGACGACAGAATTAATGTTATATCGCCGCGGACTCATCAAGCTTGCTTACTTTGCTTCCAAACGATAACTGAAACGTGAAACGAAAACGAAACCTTGAGTTTTTGGAGTTTTTTTTTCATTTCATATGTATAGTTTGTATATTCAGCGCCTACAAATGATTGGGCTCCTTCAAGTTTACTAAGTTTTTAGCTGGACAAAGCTTAGATTAGTATAAAACCTATGTTGTCACTATCTATTTCTGTATGTGTGTGTGTAATGTGTGAATTTTTTTTTTTCAAATGTGGTTTTTTTGGATTAACTTTTAAACGGCTTTTTCGATCGACTCCAGAAACTAAACAGCTCTTCACCTTGAAAAACCACATCGGTCGCCGCTAGTCCGGTCATAATCGGTTGATTCGTTCGAAAGATATCGTGAACGAACAATTTCAAAAAAAGTGTTTTTTTAACTTCCCGCTAAGAGAATTGAAAATTTTAAAAAATCGGAAAGTTATTGGTTTTATCCCGTTTTTCGAGTTTTCATCAGATCTCGACGTTTTTAGGTCCTAGGAAGCTTCCCTGACTATTCCCGCGAGGGTATCACTATGTCTGTATGCATGTGTGTGTGTGTGTGTGTATGTGGTTTTTTTGGAATAACTTTTAAACGGCTCTAACGATCGATTCCAAAAACTAATCAGTTCTTAAGCTTGAAAAACCACGTCAATTACCGCCAATCCGGTTAAAATCGGTTGATTTGTTCGAGAGATATCGTGAACGAAAGAAAACCGAAAAAAGTATTTTTTCGGAGTTATTCCGAAATTTCTAGTTTGATGACCAATTGAAACTTAGAAATTCTTTATGAGGCTTAAAAAACTGCGTAGAATGCCGCCAACCGCGTAAAAATTGGTATATTCATTCAAAAGTTATTGCTGTTTAAAAATTAAAGAAATAGAGTTCTGTGAAACTTCTATCAGACTTTTGACCTCAAAGAGCTCAAAAACTTAGAGAAGGTGTGTTTTTGAGTTCGGAGAGCTCAAAACAACACATAGATTGTATTTTTGAGCTCAAAGTGCTCAAAAACTTCATAGGTGTAATTTTGAGCGCCTAAGTATTAACGGAATTAGAGGGAAGTTGCAGGGATGGCCTTTAGGGTCAACCGTTTTCCTAATTTTTCTACCTAACTTTGACATTTCTCTACGGATCGTTTTAGGTGAAATTGAATAATTATTAGAGCTTAAAAAACCTCGTCGATCGCCGCCAAGAACGTCAAAATCGGTTGATCAATTCGAGAGATCGTTGACGAACAAATTCGGAAAAAGTGAATTTCTCAAACTTCTCTAAAATTTTTGGTTTGATCAGTTTGTGTTCAAAAGAAAATCATCGAATTCCAAAAACTACGTCAAATGCTGCCATCCACGTAAAAATCGGCTTATTTATTCAAAAGTAATTGCAGTTTGAAAATTTTAAGAACAATGTTTTATTCAACTCCTATCAGGCTTTTGAGCTGCTCGAACAGCTCAAAAGCATAGAGCAGCAAACTCTTCGAGCTCAAAATAATACATAAATTTTAATTTTGAACTCGATGAGCTCAAAAACGTCATAAGTGCTATTTTAAGCGGTTAGGTATTGAATTAGCGGTAATCACAAAAAATAGACCCGGAAAAAATTTTAAAGTTATGAAAAATTCATATTATTTCATTAAAATTATTATAAAATACAAAGTATAATATCCACCCCACAATTTTTCTAAAAAACAAACACCCCCAGAATGATCGCTTCATTTTTTGTTATAAAATGAAAAAAATATCATGATTATTATCATTTTTCCTAATTTTTTTTTTTCATTTTCCGTCAAGTTATGATCTCTATAATGATTTTGTGATATTTTGGGCCAATATGTGGTATGTGGGGCATAATGGACCACTTGAATAAAAAAAATTTTGAACGAAAAAAATTATTTTTTTCTTTTCGAATTGTGATAAATTTAAAGAATTTATTCTTTTAGGTCTTTTCAGGTCAATGGTATTTATTTTGGGTAAAATGAGTTAGAAAAAAATTTAATTAAACTGAAAAATTGAAAACAGTTTTTTGAAATTAAAACAGTAATTATAATATTAATTATTGATCACGGTATCCTCTGTGCCACGCAGAAAACCGACCTCAAAGTTCTATCTAAGTTTCTCCAAGGATTTTTTGAAGGAAGTTGCTCTACGCAACTCATATTTTTAATTTTAATTGGATAAAAATAAGGTAAAAGCCCCAGTACTTGCTCACTACTTGTTGAGGTATCACAAAATACATTATTTAAAAAATTCCTATTGATTGAAACTCATTTTTGTTTGGTAATATTTTTTAAGGTTTTTTGATATAAAATAATTAAATTTTTTAATAATTAAATGAAATCAACCAATAACAATGATTTTTTTTTAATGTATCCCTTACACTAATATATAATCACAAAATACTGACAGGGTCCAGTAGCTGCTGATCAGTAAATGACTGCAATACCTGTTCACTAAAAAGAACATGTAACAAATGACGTAAAAAGATTATTTTGTTGCGTTATTTATTTAAAATATGAGAAATAGGGGTATAATTAATAAATAATAATAAATAAAAGTAACAAGTTCAAAAATTGTAATAACCTTTTTTTTAAACTTTTTTTCAGCTTTTCTTTCTAATTTATTAAATTTTCTTTTTTCTTCCATTTGCTCTTTTTTGATTTTATTTTCATTTTCGTTTAATAATTCTTTTTCTTCTCTTTTTTGCGCCAAAATTTGTTCTTCTTTTTCTTCTTTTTTTTTTTCTGATGGTACTTAATCCATTCTTCACTACTGGCCACTTTTTTTTTGCTCATCAGATGGCCAAAAAAGCATATTTTTAAAAAGAGATGGTATATTTGAGCCTGATTTATTTACTTAATGCTTTAACGGTGTATTTTCTGGATTGAAGTCCTCGTTTAGTACTATAGAATTGTTTACATCTGCAATAAATTAAAATATTTAGCACTGTAACTGAGCATAAAGAATTTTTGATTAATTAAACTAAATTTCGTTACCTTTATTCTCCTTTGAAACATCCATTTCTAGCTCAATATCATTTAAGTTATCTCGAAGACTTGAGTCCTTCTCGTCAGTAATTACCGATATCATTTTAATTATAATTGATAAGTTGAGAATAACCATCAGAAATAAAACAAGTTTTTAACCAAAATTCATACAGTCTCTTTTCTTCAAGCGGTCCATCCCAATCTCCGATTTTTGCTGCATTTTTAAAACGCTCAAGAGATTCACTATTTATATTTTGTTCCACAAAGTTAATAAATGAGTTATCAACTTGATCATTTGTCTTTATATCATTTGTTTCCAAATTACTTTTTTGCGAGTTATCACCTACAATTTTCGAATAATCAATAGCGTCAGCACAAAATGGATAAAGCCCACATACTTCAAATCCTTTGCCTAAAATCTTTGGTAAATCTAGTTGGCTGAGAGCTTTGCTTAAGACCTGTCCGAAATTGTTTTTATTTAACGAAATACCATTGTGTTCTTCACGCCATTCCATTACTGCGTTTTTATAGCTTTTTTTTAAAGGCTCCAACAACGCAACATCCAAAGGATGCATTAAGTGCGTGGCATTTGGATACAAAGGTATCAGCTCAATCTTTTTAGCTGTACAAAACTCACTTAAGGAAAGAGTCAAGTGTGAGCTATAGCTATGCCCATCAACGTATAAAATAATAGGGAAAACAATATTATTTTCTAAACACCAAGGATAAAAAATGTTGACAATATATTCGTAAAAACTTGCAGATGTCATCCAGCCATTTTCACTTTTATCAGCAACAAATGACTTTGGTAGCAATTGGGCTATTTTACCAGGAAGTTTAGCACCTTTGAATATTATCAAGCCTGGTGGCATTTCCCCCTTGGTATTACAAGTAACTAAAGCTGTTAATGAATCCTTATCATTACACAAATTATAGACGTTTTTTTGACTTTTTTTTACAATAACTTGTTCAGTTTTTGGTTTAAGATAAAAGCAATTTTCATCTAAGTTAAATACTCGTGACGGATCAATATTCAATAAATTTTTAGATTTTAAATAACTGCCAACCTCTTCAAACCATAATCTGATAGATTTTTCATTAACATTAACTCGTCTTTTCGTTAAATTTTTATTATTAATTCGTGTACTTAATACATCATGATGTCGTTTCATGAACCCGTTATACCAGCTTTTAGATGGTCTATTATTTGTAAATGGTGTTACCTTCTTTAATTTAGTGCAGATTAATTGCACACTGTCAAGAATGGATTCTTTAGTTCGAGGATATTCAGCTACGCCCAAATTAACAATCCAATTTACTAAATTTGTCTCTTCTTCGGCACTTAATACTGGACTGGGACCTTTCTTCATTTCAATAGGATTGATACCTTTCATTTTAGAACGGATTGTTGAATAAGGAATTTCAAAATCCTTTGCAGTTTGCCGGATTGTTCTGCCATTCTTTACAGACTCCAATGCTTTTTTTAATTTTGTTGGAGAATACAGTCCTTCTTTGCGGGTTTTGGCCATATTTGTAAATATCCTTTAAAAAAAAATTAAATATTATTAGTTAAATTATTAATTTCTTTTTTATAAAAAATAATATTTAAAAATGCAACTGTGAAAATAAATTGATTGAATTGACTTTCATATAAGACCTTAGTAGAATTACAATTCGTGTAATATAAATAAAATTTTCTGGTAACATTACATTGCACTGTGTAATTTTAAAATGAAAATTTTAAAAATAAAAAAAAGCTTTTTAAATTTTTTATGTGATTATTGTAATATAAATTACAATATTTTTTAATGATTTTACATACAATTATGCCGAATCAAATTACAAATAATGTTTGCAAAATTAAAAGGCTTTTTCTTGAAAATTGACGAACAGTTCTGTAATATTACAATGCGTGTTAGGTTTATACAAGAAGATTGTAAAATTACAATACATCTTAGTAGATTTCCTGACAGGGTGTTGGAAAATTACATGAATTGTATTTTATTTAGCATTGCTATACACTGATTTGTAATTTTACAAAAATTTTTAACAGTGTGTAAATAAATAAATTAGTTTGAATTTATTGTATGGTCTGAAGCTCGCGCGATACGCAACTTTGCCAAATGTTTTGACTCCATTTTAACGTAGGTTGCTTGAGAATTTTTTGTGATTTTTAAATATTAATTTCTCAATGAATATCTCGGTAACTGATATATTTTATTGTAAAAAAAGAAACCTGAATATTTCGAAAATTTAATTTTTAGTTTTTTTTTACTTCATCTAATCCATAACTGATAGTATATAATTCGAGAAATACTGCAAATGTTTGACTTTCTCGTAAGACTCTGAACAAATACTAACATTTAAAAATTTTATTTTTTCAAAAATTTGTCCGGTAAAGTATAATTTAAACCTCACTATTAGATAAATAAGGACCTTAACTATTAGAAAAAAATTGAATTTACTCATAATCTAATATTTTTTATTTTACATTGGAGGCGAAAGGATCTCCTTAAAATAAATTTTTTAATATTTATGGAAAAAAAAAATTTATTTTATTTATCTGAATTTAATACATGATTTTAAATTTTAATTATGATAAAATATTAAAAAAATTATAAATAAAGCCGAATCTAAAAAATGTTTACAAGAAGCCATAACCTCTTACTAAAAGTAAATATTGAGCAGGTACTAGAACATGTATATAAAAAATGGTACTAGTACTAGATCACTATTTAATAATTAATTAACAACATAAAATTGATATTTACCTTATTTTACTGTATAAATTAAACTCTTTAAAATATTAACAACACGTTTATAAATTTGTGGTACGAAATAACCGTTTTAAACATCAAATTAGGAATAAGCGTTTTTGTTGTTGGTAAACCTGTAAATCTTACTCGATACGACTTGTTGTATAGCCCAAAATTAGCTATAGTAAATTTATTGAGTTCTTTTAATTCGCCCGTTGGAACGCGATAGGGCGTTCAACTCGCAGTAAATAGATTAAGGCGGGAGAGTAGATTTAAATTCGAATAAGTTGAATTAAATAACATATATAATAAATTTAAAATACTCGGATTATTTTAGTTTAATTTAGATTTGCCTTGCGCGTAAATCTATTATTTATTATTCAGTAAATTACAAAATAAAATTACCGACAATAATTCCGAAAAAGAAAATATTCGCGTGGCGTACTTAAGTCTTGCTTATTGATAAGTGTCCTCTTGTTCCTTGGTTTTCGACTCCCCCGGTTGAGATGTTCGTACTTTTGGAGTGGGAGAGGCCCAGAGGGTAGTGAGGGTAGTTGCGCGCACCTCTGCAGCTCTCATCTTCGGCTAGCATCCCTTCTCGAGTTGGCAAAATGGGACCATGTTGAAATGACGTCACGATGACCCTCGATGTTTCCAGGTCATTTGCAGCCCGCCTGGATATCTGGTTTTTATGACCTAGCCTTGGGTACTCGAGTAATCCCTTTTTAAATGAACATTTTGGAAGATAAGCCTCTTAAGAGATTATGGCAATAAAAATTAATAAATAAAGATCTCTGGGTTTTCCAGTTTCATAAAGAATATTCCAAAACGTTCAGTATTTTATTCTAAGTGACCATTACATTTAACGTAAACTTATTTTAACAAAGTAATTTTAAAATTTTCGGTATGTCTAGACTACAAATCGGTACTAAAAGTTTTGTAGTTTTTTTTCCTCGGGAATTTTCGGTGATTATGACTTCACTTAGACCCTAAAATTTATGATAGAAAAATTCCCATACTTAACAATAGAATTTAAAATAGAAAAGCTTACAACATTTTAGAGATTCCTATTTTTCTTACTAATACTACTACAAATAAAATACATATTTTAAATCTTACTGGGTTTTTCCCGCTATCATTTATTGCAGCCATCTTTTTATATTTAATTCTATATTAATATACAGAGAGCGTTGTGATCAATCCTTTCGGATTCACAACAGACTTGTGTTATGCTTCCATCTAGGGGATGTTATTTTTATATTTATTGAAAACTTTACTTACTGTAGTTCTTTCGCCCGGGAGTATTAAAATACTCGGTTTCAGCGCGGGAAAGGAATAATTTTAAATAAAAGAATTCTATTTAGACGTTATTTAATTTTGATCAAAATTATTTAGTTGGTTTTAATTTATTATTCAAGTTGACAAAATATTAAAAGCTTGAAAATATATATTCACAATCATCCTAGCTCTCTTGCTAATCTACATCCTCTTCCGGAAGAACTACTACTCCAAGCATGGAATACCTCATCCAAAACCTCATTTCTTCATCGGCAATCTGCTTCCAGTAATCCAAAAGAAGCAAGCATTCGTCGAGCTCCTTATAGACCTTTACAATTTCAACAAAGACGCCAAGTACATTGGGTACTACGACTTTAACGGCCCAATGACGATAATTCGTGACTTGGACCTGATCAAGAGTATCACTACCAAGAATTTCGAGCACTTTGTTGACCACCAGAAGTTGGTTGCTGATCCAGACTCAGACGTCCTGTTCGGGAACAACCTTTTCACTCTTCGCGGAGATCAATGGCGTAGAATCCGAGGGATGATGACTGGAGTGTTTACATCCAGCAATATGAAGGCTATGTTCAAGCTGATGGCAGATTGTGGGGACAATTTTTCTGAGTACCTTGCAGCTAAATCCAAGGAAAGCTTGACTGTGATTGATTCGAAAGACAGTTTCACCAGATTTGCCAATGACGCTATTGCGACCTGTGCATTTGGGATCTCTGTTGACTCGATGGCGAACCCTGACAACGAATTCTACATCCACGGGCGAGAAGGGGCCAACTTTGCAGGGCCCAAAAAGTCCTGGAAGTTCTTCATGTGTCAAACCTTTCCAAGGATCGCCAAGCTACTGGGCATCAAACTGATTGACAGCCGTGTGGAGAAGTTCTTCTGCAACTTGGTCGAAGAAACGATGGCTGCCAGAGACGAGCAAGGGATCTTCCGACCAGACACGATCCAGTTGCTGATGGAGTTACGAAACAAGGACCAGGAGCAGTCCAAGCCTGAACTGACCATCGGAAATACGACGGCCCAGGCGTTCATTTTCTTCTTGGGTGGCTTCGAGACAACCTCAGCAGTGATGTGCTTCGTTGCTCATGAGATAGCGGTGAACATGTCAATCCAGGAGAAGCTGCAGCAAGAGATTGACCAGGTGTTTGAAGACTGTGGAGGCAACCTGACATACGAAGCAGTAAACGGCATGCAGTACCTTGACGCAGTCATCAACGAATCCTTGAGAATGTATCCATCACCTGGGTTCTTAGACCGGGTCTGCACAAGGAGCTTCGAACTGCCTCCTAGTTTGCCGGGCTTGAAGCCGTTAAAGGTCCAACCTGGAGATCGCTTCATGATTCCAGTGTGGGCGATCCACCGAGATCCGGAGTACTTCCAGGACCCGGACACTTTCAATCCAGATAGGTTCATCAAAGGCAAGGTTAATGCTGCTGCTTACTTTCCGTTTGGGGCAGGACCTAGGATGTGCATTGGAATTCGGTTTGCTTTGATGGAGATCAAGGTCCTGTTGATCTTCCTGCTGAAGAAGTGTCAAATCAAGCCTGCCGGGAAGATGATTCTGCCGATAAGGTTGAGCAGGGAGGATTTTACCGTCAGGCCTGAAGGCGGCTTTTGGTTGGAAGTCCAACCAAGGTGAGTCGTTGATATCTGATTGACGCAATCTAAGATAGTTCAATGAACCACATGAACTGTCGTGTACTCATTTATAAGTTTTATCTTTTTTTGTATGATCATATTACTATAACTGTAATATATAAATAAATCTTTGCTAGCAATGAAGACCTCTTTTAAAAATATCTTATTTGAGTTTTAATCTTATCGCCACTATTCATCACTTGACGTTAAGTCGCAGTATTTATTATTCCAATATTACGTTAGTAACCGTGAATTCTCAACAGCAATAGCATATCTCAACGCTATCAAGCAAAAGATTATAACGCATGCGCGAGAAGACAGCACTCTTGATTGATAAGCTCGGTAGGGGAATTCATCATAATATAACTCAATCTACAATAATTACCCCACCCATTCGTCAGTTAGTAAAACCCGTCGTGCTGAAACACCAACAATGGATCCAATTTCGCAGTCCATGATCGCGTTAACAATCATCATCATTATCATCAGTCTTCTCATCCCGCAAAACTCATTTTTCCGAGCATGGAATCCCTCATCTACCTAAACGGACTCTGTTCCACGATTTATACGATATTATCTTCAAAAACACATCAGCAGTGAGTCTGACTCTTAAAATGTACAACCACTATATATTAGCAAAGTATATCGGATTGTACGGATTCGGAAAACCAGCAATCGTAATCCGGGACTTGGAGCTTCTAAAGAGCATAACTGTGAAAAACTTTGACCACTTTGTCAATCATCGAAGCTTTATTAACACGGACATAGATTCGTTGCTGAGTCACAGCTTGTTCTTCCTTTGCGATGACAATTGGCGTGAAACCAGGACACCTCTCTCCAGCATTCACCGCAATGAAGATGAAAAGCATGTTCAAATTGATGTCCGAGTGCGCGAATAATTTCACGAACCATTTAGTAGCCAGATCTTAGAATTGCTCCGTTGAATTCGACTCCAAGGACATATTCACGCGTTACACCAACGACACCATCGCTACTTGTGCTTTTGGAGTCTCAGTTGACTCCATGAAGGACCCTGACAATGATTTTTACCTTCTTGGAAAACTAGCCACCAATTTCGAAGGCAAAATGCTCAAAATCGCCATGACTATGTTGTTTCCAAGACTCGCGACGTTATTTAGGGTGAAAATAGTCGATGAAAAAGTGGAGCAGTTCTTCCTGGACCTGGTACGCAATACGATTGAATTGAGAGACCAGCAAGGAATCTACCGGCCAGATATGATCCAGCTGATGATGGAAGCTAGGAATAGCTCAGATTTGAAGAAACCGGAGCTATCTATCCAGAAAATGACCGCCCAGGCCTTCATCTTCTTCTTCGCAGGCTTCGACACCACTTCCAAGCTAATGTGCTTCGATGCTCATGAGATCGCGACTAATCCCGAAGTCCAAGCACGCTTGCAGGATGAAATAGACCAGGTCTTGGAATATTATGGAGAACCCACCTACGAAGCGATCAACAATATGCAGTTTCTTGATGCTGTCATCACTGAAGCGTTAAGGATGTATCCTGCGATGATAATCGCTGACAGGTTGTGCACCAAAGGCTTTGAACTGCCTCCAGCTGCTCCCAGGGCGAAGCCATACCTTCTTAAACCTGGTAGTCTTGTCATGCTGTCGACTTGGGCAATTCATCGGGATCTAGAGTACTTTCCTGAGCCAGACACTTTCGATCCTGACAGATTCTTGGAGGATCGCAGGAAAACGGTGAACAGTGTTGCTTATTTGCCGTTTGGCGCCGGTCCCAGAATGTGCATTGGCAACAGATTCGCGCTCTTGGAAATCAAGGTCATGTTCTACTTCCATCTTTTAAGCAAGTGCAGCATAAGCCCAGCTAAGAAAATGATCCTGCCTATGGAGATTGCTGATTCTAATACTACTTTGGGTGCTAAAAGCGGCTTTTGGCTGGATATTTTGCCGAGGAAAAAAGTTTGATCTTTTGGCTGATTTTTGTCACTGAAAGAAAATTTTTAAAAATTTTAGGAGAATTTTAAAGTATAAATGTGCACATCAGTTTTTCATATATTTTATATATTTATGTATGTTTATATGAAAAATATATCAAAAATGCATTTGGGTACTCAAATGAAAGCTCCGGATGAATGTAACATCGGGATGAGTTTATATCTTTAAAAACGTTAATATTTAAGCAAGTACAGTGCAATTTAGCAAAAATCATTATTTAATATTATGGCCATTTATTGTTTTAATAAACGATAGCAATGAGTTTATATTAATAAATCATTACAAACTCAATTTGTTTTAATACATATTTCTTAAAACTCAACAAAAATCTATATATATATATATATATATATATATATATATAGGAGACTTTCTATATAGATATAGTCACTCATCACGATATCTCTGAAACTATAAGACCTAGAGACTTGAAATTTGGTAGGAATATTCCTTGCGCTGAGTAGAGGTCAGCCAAGAACGGATTTTACGAAATTCCACCCACAAGGGGAGTTGCGGGGGCGTTAACAATGAAAAATTCCTGTTTTTAAACTATAGCTCCTATCGACTCCAAATCTGATAGGAATGTTCTGTAAGAGATGTAAAAATAATCTATAAACGAATTTTATGATATCTCACCCCACAGAGGGTTGCGGGGGTGGGTATAAACAATGAAAATTATTAATTTTCAAGCTATAGCTACTACAGACTCCAAATTTTGTAGGAACTCTCTGTAAGTGATGAAAAAATAATTTATGAACGAATTTTACGATATCCTACCTCATCAAAGAGAATTGCGGGGACGTTAACAATGAAAAATTCCCGTTTTAAAACTATAGTTCCCATAGACTCCAAATCGGGTAGGAATTTTCTGTAAGAGATGTAGAAATAATATATCGACGTTCTAATTAGTAAATTGTCTAACTCCATTTTAGAGAATCTTCTATTTGTATGAAAAAAAAAAAAATTAGTTCAAAATTCATTATCACTAAAAAACCATTTAATATCATTTTTATCTATTACACGGAAAAAAATTAACTGTTGGTGCAACAGGAGGCAGTCATGTTGCAGCAACAGGAGAAAATCCTGTTGCAGCAACAGGATTACTACTGTTGTTGCGACTTAATAATAAAATATAGTTGGGTCATTCCATGTCAAATTGACCTACAGTTGGAATTGACCCCTTTTGATATGGATAAATTTTGGTCAGAAATTTTCTTTTATCATATAACGAACTTCTGATTATTTCTGATTTTTATTGGAAATTTATATTTGTTTGAGTTATTTGACGTCAAAAACTGTTATTGAAGTGAAGAAACGGACAAAATATATCATGCGTTAAGCCTGACTTTAAGATTACTTCAAAAAAATAAAAAAAAGTTAAAATTATTTTATTATTTAATATTTCCACGTCGTACATTTGATTTTTTAATGCTCAAAATTACAATAATATGTATCTGCATAACTTTACCTGATTTAAAAGTTGCAAAAACAAGAAAAAATTTTTTTTTTGAAATTCAAAAATTCATATTAAAAAAAAAAAAAAAGTTCTCAAAATTTCAGAGTCTATTAAGATCAGTACAAGGTAATAAATAAAAAAAAATTGAGCCAAAATTTTAATGTCAATCGACATTTTTGACGATTTTCAAAAATTTAAAATTGAACAACTTTGGCATTTTTCAAAATTTTTTTCCAA